TTAAAAATTTCCAATTTTTACGGGTGATAACTAAAGATTAATTAATCAAACAATTAAAATTGATGACTATTCTATAAAAATCTTTTCCTAAAAATATATAGACAAAACAATTCCTAAAAAGATCATTTCAACAAAGAACTCTTGCCTCCTCACACTTAAACGGAACCACGCCCTCGTGGTTAAAAGTGATTCAGAATTAGAGTTAATGGTTGAGATTTCCGCATGCAATTACTAAGTTATCTCACTACTTACAAGATTCAACAATGAAGATTGAAATAATAGATAATCATAACATGTAAATATGAAATAATGCATATAATTTTCTCAAAATGGTTTTTAGAGTCATGTTGTGAAATTCCAGAATAAAAATCATCAACCATCAAAATCATTTTCAAAATAGTAGAGAAAAAGAGACTTTACTGAGGAAGTCAATATTCTCTCAGTAGCCAACTTCAACCAGGACTGTTGGATCAAGAAGCCTCGAAGGTTGCAGAAACCTTGTGTTTTCCCCAGGTGAGACCTCTTCTTCGCTCCCACTGTAAGGTATGCCCTACAATTCTCTCGTCTGCAAAAGCAAAAACAAACAAAATAACTCTTGCCCCCAAAACTGGTGCGGCAAGCAAAAACCTCAAAAACTAACAAATAAAACTATTGAATTTATTTAATTATTTAGTTATTTGAATGACGGGTTGCCTCCCGTTAAGCGCTTCTTTAACGTCCGTAGCTTGACGCTCACCCACTTTTTCCGTGACTTCCCGATCCGAGAGTCATAAAGTTTGGCCCTTCTGACTCTCTTCTGGTGCCACCTTGTTTGATTTGTTGCTCGGTCAAGGTCCAGGATCCTTGACTCGTCCCTGCGGCTTGGCGGCAACAGGATAAAAGGAGGAAACTCTTGATAGGTGGGTGGGGGCGGAAGTCTCCTCAGTTGATCCACATCATTGGCCTTCATAGCGAGATTGATTTTTTTCTTATCTTCAACAGGCTGACCATCCATTTGTGGTTTGATGATTACGACCGTGCTTTCCCCCATGGATGAGTCTTCAGTGTCACTTACCAGAAGTTCATCCCAACTCTTTTGGCTCCAACTATCCTTCGGGCAGACAAAGTCACACCCGTCAAGTAGGGAGTCAAAGAAAGTTTGGTCTAAGTCTTCTGATGAAGCATGATTATCTATAGACGTTATTGGTTCCTCGTGCTAGGTATTTCTTCGTCTGTAGATTCCTCCTTAGACTCTTGAATGTTGGAATCTTGGGGGTAGGTAGTGAGCTCTATCTCCTCCAGAACAGGTTCCTCTGGAGGTGTGTCTTCAACACAATTAAGGATATGGTCGTTTATTGCCATAGGCAAAACTTCCTCCTCCTTCTGTTCTTGAATAAGCATAGGTGGTTCTGAGTCAGGTCCCTCAGTTGGTTCCACCTCATGTACGACTGTGCCGGTTGAGACTTGGCTTGGAGGGTATTCGGGTAACATCACCACAGTAGCCCCAGCAAGAGTTGTTATGCTCTCGGGTTTCTGTGATGGTGTAGAACTTGGTGAATCTTCTAGAACTGGCACCTGATGGTTGGATGGTTCAGGGTTGGTCATAGGTTCTAGAGCCTCTTTTTGAGCATTAACTTCCTCCAATTGTGGATCTTGAGATTGGAGGGAGCGTTTAAGCTGAATAGCCTTACAGAGATCATTGACTAATTTATTAGCTTTAGCCTCGGCTTCTAGTCTCTCTCTTTGGAAGTCGTCCAGCATTTTCTGCATCATTTCTGATCCTTCGCATAATCTCCTTTCGAACTCCTTTTCCTTCCGGACTGATTCAAGAAGTTTTGCTCTTTCTCGAATTGCCACCTTGTTCGCTTTAATTTGTTCTTCAGCAAACAAGGTGTAGTCACGGGAGTAGGGTGGTTCGTACCAAGAGCCTTCAGCGAATAAAAGTTCGTCGAAATAGAAGATTTTCTGTTCTAATCTTAGGATTTCTTCAACGAGCGGATCAGGTTGATTGTCATACATAGGCCCATTGTGGTCATAGTCATCTTGGTCGCCATGAGGTTCATAATAATTATCCCCATCAAAATCTTGGTATGGAGAATATCCAAAGTTCCTAGGCGGGGTATCATATGGTGGTTCCTCATGGTAGGGATAGTAGTCAGACCCATTGTTGACTTGGTAGTCATCATCGTATGGGTTCTAATGCGGGTGGTAAGATGGATGGGTTTGGTACGGAGGGCGGTTGGGTGATTGGTAGTAAGAAGGCGGACCGTAATAACCACTAGAGTTATCCATAATAATTATTACGGGTGATTGGTGAAAAAGAAGTGAGAAGATCGTTCTAACCAATCTTCACCCAAGCTAATCAGAAGAAATTAAACTAATGCCGTGCCACTCCCCGGCAACGGCGCCATTTGACAATTGTAGTTTTTCGGGTAGTAAACCTTCCCAGTAAAGGGTTAGTTTTCTCTCCGAGTGTCGTGTCTCTCGAGGAGTGGACGAAGGGAATTAGTTTAATTACTCTAACTAGACGAAGATTATGATTGGTTTATGAAAGTCTTCTCGGAACGATTATAAAAGGCGCAGAGTAAAAATAATAAATTAAGTTTACATAGTATAAGTATAGATCTGGACCTAGGGTCAGGACATCATTTGGATCTATTTTATCATATTAAATTAACAATTGGAATAATAATATTTCTATTACTACTCATCCATTTCTAGATTTGTACTTAATCTGTTGCACTTGAATATCGTAGCCTTTT